ATTTGTATGATAAACTCCCATGTACTCTCCACTTAGATTCACAAATGATTAACATTTTCCCGTATTTTCTTAGTCACTCCCACATCCATTCCATATGATTTTATATATATCTCCTATATAATAAAAGGGTAATATGCAAATTAATTGTCCCTCCATTACAAAGATGGCAGCACCCAGTCCCCTCAGCCCTGCCAGAGTCCCCCAGTCCCAGGACGGGGGCAGTAGGTGGGGTGGGAATGGGCGGCCCCTGAGAGTGGGCAGTGTAAGCAGCCTGGTGGAATGCTTGGTTTGTTGCTGTGGCCGGGCCCTGCAGAGAGCTACTGGCACACAAATTAGTGCACAGGGCTACTAATACACACACACACACACACACACACACACACACACACACACTAGAGGCTGGGTGCATGAATTTGTGCACCAGTGGGGCCCTTAGGCCTGGCCTGCAGGACTGGGCTGAAACTGGCTCTCTGACATCCCTGAGAGGTCCCAGATTGCAAGAGGGTACAGGACATGCCAAGGGACCCCACTGGTGCACGATCAGGGCCTAGGAGGACTGTGGGAGGTTGGCCAGCTGGGGAGGGACTGTGGGAGGGCTCCAGGGCATGTCTAGCCCATCTCGCTCAGTCCCAATCGGCTGGATCCCAGTAGCAAGCTAACCTACCAGTTGGGAGAGTCTGCCCCCTGGTGGTCAGTGCATGTCATAGTGAGCAGTTGAGCAGCCTTAGCATATCATTAGCATATTATGCTTTCATTGGTTGAACAGATGACTGGAAGACCAGACACTTAGCATATTAGGCTTTTATTATATAGATTTTCTTAAATATAATCATAATCATTTCATGGGTGTTTACACAAATTAGCAACTATAAATTATGTACCAACAATACATGACTATCGTGTGCATACACACACACACACACACACACACACATATCTGTCTGCTATGTCCTTTTCATCATTCTTGTCCATTGTAGATTGCTTTGGGTAATATAAACACTTTAAAAATATTGATTCTACCAATCCATGAACATAGTATGTTCTTCCATTTGTCTATGTCTTCCTCTATCTCTTTTTTCAATGTCCTGTAGTTTTCTGAATACAGGTTTTTTACATCTTTAGTTAAGTTTATTCCTAAGTATCTTAATTTTTTTGGTGCAATGGTAAATGAGATTGCTTTTTTCAAGGCCAAATATTTGATTAACTGTTTAGATAAAATCCTCCTAAGTTGACATACTTGACTATTTCTTAAAAATTAAAATGTAAAATACATATATAAGAGTGTATGGAATGTATATGTATAGCTTAGATTATACTACAAAGATCAAGTACTCATTGGCCACTTAGCTTTGGAAACAGAACAGTATCAAAATCTTTGTGTACCTCTCTCAGCTCTGAGGTAATCACCAATCTACATCTTGTATATGGTCTTCCCCCCCCCCCCCTTTTTGAAAATGATTTACAGATCTGCTTTTCCAACAAATATATTGTTAAGTTTTTTTTCTATACTATATATATAAGTATAGTTTCACTACTTGCTTTTTAAAAATTTTAAATGAATGGAATCATGTTGTATGTCTTCCTCAGTTTTTTAAAAATTCAAAATTAGCCCGGACCGGTTTGGCTCAGTGGCTAGAGTATCGGCTTGGGGACTGAAGGGTCCCGGGTTCGATTCCGGTCAAGGGCATGTACCTTGGCTGCGGGCATATCCCCAGTAGTGGGTGTGCAAGAGGCAGCTGGTCGATGACTCTCTCTCATCGATGTTTCAAACTCTCTATCTCTCTCCCTTCCTCTCTGTATAAAATCAATAAAATATATTTTTAAAAATTCAAAATTATGTTGTGTTCTATTTTATAAAAATAAAACAATTTAAATATCCAAAATACTGTTGATAGTGGTTTTGTTTCTAGTTTTGTTTTGTTTTTAATTTTTGTTGTTGTTGCTATTGCTTTAACAACAATGTTGTCATAAATATTATTATATACTAGAGGCCCGGTGCACGAATTCATGCACCAGTGGGGTCCCTTAGCCTGGCCTACAGGATCAGGTCAAAACTGGTTGACATCCCTTGAGGGGTCCCGGATTGTGAGAGGGTGCAGGCCAGGCTGAGAAACCCCACTGGTGCACAACCAGGGCCTGGGAGAAACATGGGAGGGCTCCAGGATATGTCCAGCCAGTCTCACTCAGTCCCAATCAGCAGCAAGCTAACCTACTAGTTGGAGCCTCTGCCCCCTGGTGGTCAGTACATATCATAACAAGCGGTTGAACATCCTTAGCATATCATTACCATATTACACTTTGATTGGTTGAACAAACGACTGGACAATCAGCATTTAGGATATTAGACTTTCATTATATAGGATATGTATTGGTAAATAGGAGCAAGAGTTTCTCTAGGTGCCAAAACCAGTTTGGCTCAGTGGATAGAGCATCAGCCTGCAGACTGAAAGGTCCCAGGTTCGATTAAGGTCAAGGGCATGTACCTTGGTTGCGGGCACATCCCCAGTAGGGGGTGTGCAAGAGGCAGCTGATCGATGATTCTCTCTCATTGATGTTTCTAACTCTCTATCCCTCTCTCTTCCTCTCTGTAAAAAATCAATAAAAGATATTTTTTTTTAAAAAAGAGTTTCTCTAGGTATATATCTAATAAATGCTGGGACATACAGTATGCATATCTCCATGTAAGTAATGCTAAATTGCTGGCCAAAAATGATTGTGCCAATTTATATCTTCACAAACAATGGGAGTTCTCATTACTCTCTTTGCCAATTCAAGTTTTACCAGTAAGGTGGGCGCATAATAGTATCTCATTTTAGTGTTAGTTTATATTTCCCTAATTACCACTATGGTTGAGCATCTTTTCATAAGTTTATTTGCCATTTAAGTTTCCTCTTCTATGAAATTTCTATTTAGGTGTTTGCCCATTTTTTCTGTTGGGTTATTTGCCTTGTATTGATTCATATGGTTATTTGTAGGTTCTGGATAACCAATCCTTTATTGGTTATTTTCTCTGCAAAAATCCTTTACTGGTTAATACTTGTGTCTCGTTTAAAAGACTCTTCTATATTCGGAGGCCAAAGAGATATTTATCTGTGTTTTATTCACATGTTTTAAAAATTTCATATATTTTTTCATATATTTTTTCATATATTTCATTTTTAAAGAATATATTTTATTGACTTTTTACAGAGAGGAAGGGAGAATAGAGAGTTAGAAACATCGATGAAAGAGAAACATCGATCAGCTGCCTCCTGCACACCTCTTACGGGGGATGTGCCCGCAACCCAGGTACATGCCCTTGACCGGAATTGAACCTGGGGCCTTTCAATCCGCAGGCCGATGCTTAATCCACTGAGCCAAACCGGTTAGGGCTGCTGTTCATATTTAAATTCTTAATAGTTCAATCAACCAGAAAGTAACAAGTATACATTTGCATGCACCTAATATCATAATTTCAATACATATAAAGCAAAAATTAACAAAAAGAAATCGATAAAACTAAACAAAGTATATTTTAGCATGCTTCTCTCAGTAACTGATAGAGGAATCAGATAATATGAACATTCTTTAAACACTCAGAACTCTGACCATATGCTTCAATCATAAGGATAATTTCAACCGATTTTAAAGGATTATTATCACATATTCTTTGACCTTATTGTTATTGATCCAGAAATCAATAACAAGGTAAGTAAATAATCCCATGTATTTGAAAAGTTTTAAATATTTTAAATAACTTACATTGGAATTCCAAAAATACTTTAATTGAACAATAAAAATGGAATCTCAAAAACTTTGGCACACAGTTTAAAGGAAATTTATAGACAACATGCACATTTTAGAAAAACAAAGAATGAAAATCAGTCATTTCTTTCAAGACATTAGAAAAACAATCTAAAACCAAGGAACTTATAAGATCAGAAATTAATGGTATAGAAAAGAAATATATGAGAGTATGAAGCCAGAAGTTTCTTATTTGAAAAGGCTAATAAAATTGACAAACCTTAAGAATAAAAAGGCATGAATAACTAATATCAGAAATGAAAAAGAAGCCATTACTACAGAGCCTTGCAGACTTTAAAGGGATAATAAAAGTTTTTGTGAACTGCATTATAATATTATAGTACTAGAGGCCTAGTGCACAAAATTCATGCAAGGTGCAGTCCCTAGTTCTAGCTGGCAATCGAAGTGTGAGTGTCTGCATGGAATGGCATGTCCCTGCTGACTTCTGGGCCCTGGGCAGCACTTGGGCCCCCAGACCCCTGTGTGCCCATCTCCGCCTGAATAGAGTCCCCTGCCACTGCTTCTGGTCACTCTCTGTGGGGCGATCAGCAGGGCAATTGGGCCTCCCTTGCTCCTGCCTTGGCCTGGTGCCACCCACTCATCTGCCCCACCATCTTGCCGCAGTCCCGCTGTCATTGGGCCCACTGGAGCAGGCAACGCCTCCACTGCTGCCCACTGCCAGTGCAGTGTCACCGATGCCACCATGTTCCTAATATTTGATGCTACAATTCCACTTCTGGGTATTTAACCGATTCGAAAAGACATATGCATCCTTATGTTCATTGCAGCATTATTTCCAATAGCCAAGATAAATGTTTGTGGATTTTATAAATGGATAAAGATGTGGGGTATCTATATCTATATCTATCTATCTATATACATGCAATGAAATTTTATTACTCAGTCATAAAAAAGATTGAAATCTGCTGAGCCAGTGTGGCTCATTGTTTGAACTTCAACCTATGAGGTCCATGTTCCATTCCTGGTGGGGGCACATGCCCTTTCTGTAAGCTCAATCCCCAGTGGGGGTCATGCAGGAGGCAGCCAATCAATGATTCTCATTATTGATGTTTCTGTCTCTCTCTCTCCTTTCCTCTCTGAAATCAATAAAAATATTTTTTAAAATAAATAAAACAGAAATAGACTCATAGATGGTTGCCAGAAGGAGGCAGTGGCAGGGGGTGGGATTAAGGGGTACAAACTTCCAGTTTAAAAAAAAAAAAAGACACAGGGTGTATAATAACTGCAGAGAGAATAGTCACTAGTACTGTAATAACTTCATACGGCGACAGAAGTTAACTAGACTTATGGGAATAATCACATTGTAATATGCATAAATATCGAATCACTAAAACTATTATTGCAAGTCAATTATATTTCCATTAAAATTTTTGCTTGATGCTACAGGACCTGCACTCATGCCTGTACAACAGGGCACACTAATTTTGTTAGTATGCACTTTGGGTTTAAAACTCACAAATGTGATACTGACCCCTTCCCGCTGAAAGAGGGGAAGCCGAGCGTCCTGCCCACAGTCCTAGGAGTTGGTTTGCTCCGTCTGGTAGCAGCGGGATCCTTCTTCCTCCTGCCCCTCGGCTTTTCCCGCCCTTTCCCCCGAGAACCAATCACCGAGCCCGGCTGTGGAGCCAGGACCAATCAGCGATCTCTGCTACGGTTCCCTCGCCCACCGCCTTACCCGCAAGGCGGCGCCATGTTTCAAGGGCAGCGGGGCTGGTTCTGCCGCAGCGTCAGCGGGAACCTGAGGCAGTTCTGGGGTAGGAAGCTGGGGAAAGGGTGGGTGAGGGGGTGGAGGTGGCACCCCTCCCACTCGTGTGCCTTGGCCCCAGGGTCCTTGCTGGCTTACCCGCCCTTCGCTCTTGCCTTCGCAGTGTCCGAAGGGGGGGCGATCAGTGACCCGAGGGCCGCCGACTTCCTGTTCAGCTGCGACGCCTCGCACCCGGACACGATGAGGTACCTGCGCGCCGCCTGGCGTTGCCTCTCGAGTCCTGACGAGGCGGGAGTTGGAGGTGGAAATTGCGGTCGTTTCCAATCCTATGGAGGTTAAAATATTGATACATAGCCTTTCTCCTCTCCTTCTGCCACCATGGCCTGGCCTCCCGCCTGGTCCCCGAGTCACTTCTTGAGTTCCAGTATTAACAGCCCCACATGACTTTTTTATTTTTTTTTATTATTTTTTTTCACGTGACTTTTTTTTAAAAAAATGTTTTTATTGATTCTAGAGAGGGAGATGGAAAAGGAGAGGAAGAGAGGGACAGAAACATCAACGCCGAGAGAGAATTGATCGGCTGCCTCCTTCACGGCCCCTGCTGGGGATCGAGCCCACAACCCCGGGCCTGTGCTCTGACCTGGAACCTAATCATGACCTCTGGTTCGTGGGTGGAGGCTCCACGTGACTTCTTGGAGGCCCCTCCTATTGAATATGTTTAATCTAAATCTGCATGTCCCTCATACCTGCAGTAGGGCCTGTGTTCTTAAGCTTAAAGCCTTCCTGGCGTCTTTTTGAATAACAACCCCTCCCCACAGTGATCCGTCAGTGTTCAGACACCCGGGAGTGTGCCCCTCAAACGCTCTCAGCACACCCTCTCACCACCTTAGCACACACCCTGATCACCTCTCGCCCTGACTCTCAGCGTGTTTTTCTGAGAGATTGCTCTGCCTTCAATCTGTCCACCTGCCATCCTCCTAGTTGCTGTGGGATTATGTTTGTAAAGCTGAGGTCTAATCCCCACCCTCTGAATCCCCAGTCTCCTGGTTGCCTATGGATAATCTTTCCTACTTCCACTTATTTGTTCCCTTTTTGCAAGGTTGAATACAGTTTTGTTTATTTGATAACCTAAAATATTTCATTTCTTTTCCTCCTAGAATATATCAGAGCCTCGATTACATAGATGATAATGCTACCGTTTTTCATGCCTACTATCTCTCTGCAGTAGCTAATGCTGAAATTAAAAATTCAGTGGCTCTAGGTCATTTCGTTCTTCCTCCTGCATGCCTGCAAGAAGGTTAGCAAAGATCATTCATCCAACCCCTGTTAGACAGACAGATCCAGCTAAGTCACCCAGCTGTACTGATCTAAGTGGAAAAGCATGGATTTGGGATGGGAACGCGTTGATGTATATTCTAGATTTATTTGTTTACCCTTGATTCATGCATTCACTGAGCTCCTACTGCGTGCCAGGTTTCAACCCAGGTGCTGGAGATTTGGTGCTAAATAATACACATGCAGATCTTGTCCTCACAGTGTTCACTGGCTGGGATACAACACTCACTGGTTCTGTAACCTTTAGCAATTTCTCCCAAGTTGTTTTGAGGATAAAATGAGATAATATAAGTAGTCTGATATGTGAGCATACAATTAACTGTTCTTTGCAAGTTTTTAATCTCTTCATATTTTTTAAGTTTTTTTTTCTATTTTTAAAGATTCATTATGATAATAAACCCATATATTACTATTGTTCTTTATACTGTTTAAAGTACTTTCAGATGAAACCGGTTTGGCTCAGTGGAAAGAGCGTCTGCCTGCAGACTGAAAGGTCCCGGGTTCGATTCCGATCAAGGGCATGTACCTTGGTTGCGGGCACATCCCCAGTAGGGAGTGTGCAAGAGGCAGCTGATCGATGATTCTTTCTCATCGATGTTTCTAACTCTCTATCCCTCTCTCTTCCTCTCTGTAAAAAAAAAAAAAAAAAATCAATAAAATATATTTTTAAAAAATAATAAAGTACTTTCACATTAACTATTTCAGCAGCCCTGTGAAGTAAAGAGCAAGTAAATAAACTGTTTCTGAAATTGGTTCTTTTAGTTTTCCCTGATTTGTTCTATTCAAATCCTACCTATTTTATCTGGACTAATTAAATATCCCATTTAAAAAATATATTATTGATTTCAGAGAGAAAGAGAGAGGGAGAGATAGAGACACCAATGATGAAAGAGAATCATTGACTGGCTGCCTCCTGAATGTACTCCATTGGGAATTTAGCCCGCAATTCAGGTATATACCCTGACCATGAATCAAACCCTGACCTCCTGGTTCACAGATCAATGCTCAACCACTGAGCCATGCAGGTCTGGCAAAATATCCATTTTTATAGGTCTTGAATTATTACCCAATTCTTGATGTGTATGTGTCTATCCCTAGCAAGACAGATGTACACATTCCCCATGAGCAAAGTATAAAAAAAAAAAACATACCAAACAGATCAAAAAAGATTTCTATAGAAGAGTTTTAGAAACTCCCCAAATTGTGTTCCTTTCATAGATTTAATATCCTGGAAGGACCTATTTATAACAATAAGTTCCTATAAGTGGTTATAGATAAATTAATTAATGACTCCTGTCTTTGAGATTAGCGTCTTAAGTTAAAAATGTATTAAAATTTTAAAACTGTCAGAAATGAAAACATGCTCCTTTTTAAAAAATAAAAACTATACATTATTATCCATCTAGACCAGTAGTAGAAGTATGAAGATGCAAATGTGAGCCACATATTAATCATAAAATTTCTAGTAATCACATTAAAAAGAATAAAAAGAAATAGGTGAAATTAATTTTAAGAATGTATTTTATTTAACCTAATATATCTACAGTATCATTCTATATATAATAAAATTATTGGGATATTTTAAGTTTTTTATACACACACACACACACACACACACACACACACACGCACGCACACTTTAGAGAGAAAGGAAGAGGGAAAGAGAGATAGAAACATCAATGATGAAAAGATCATTGATAAGCTGCCTCCTGCAACCCACAACGTGTGCATGTGCCCTGACCAGGAATCAAACCATGACCTCCTAATTCATTGGTTGATGCTCAACCACTGGGCCACTCCAGCCAGGCATTTGCATACTTTTTTGGATACTAAGTCTTTGAAATTCAATATGTTATGCTTCCAGCACATTTCAGTTTGGACTAGTGGCACATTTCAATGTGGTGCCCATATCTGCCTAATGGCTACTACTAAGTAGGCACAATAGATGTTGAGGAATGCTACCTTTTTGTCCTTGAGTGGGCTACTGTATAACCTTTTAGGATCTTTGAGTTAGAATGATGACATAGTCCTCTGACATACTAAGCATTGTAAAATTCCTGTACTACCATGCTCACTAAACACATTGCTCTTCCACCCTTCTTTTAACAAAGTAAATTATTGAAATATTGAGGACCTCTAATCAACAAATTAAGGAATTTTATAGCTTTTTAAAATATATATTTTTTATTGATATTAGAGAAGGGAGAGATAGAAACATTAATGATGAGAGAGAATCACTGAACAGCTGCCTCCTGCACACACACACCCACCCCTCCTACTGGGAATCGAGCCTGCAACCCCAGCATATGCCCTGACCAGGAATCAAACCAGTGAATTCTTGGTTCCTGGTTGGACACTCAACTGCCAAGCCATTCATGACTAGGCGATATAGCTTTTATTTTGACTAGACAATCATTTTCTTTATTAATGCTTGGCCTAAAGACACATTTAATGCAGAGCTATATTCCAGCAGGAAAAGTTTACAACAATGATTCTGATAATGCATTGGAATCATCTGGGAAGTTTTATATAAATGCAAATTCCTTAGCTCCTTCTCAATGATCTGATTCAGAAGGAATCTGCGTTTTAAACAAGTATTTTAGATGATTTTGATACAGTGAAAAAATGCTGGCCTAGAAATCTCAGACTTCAAGTAAAATTTAGATGTTACATTTACTTCTTGGAGCCCAACCAGTTTGCTCAGTGGATAGAGCATTGGCCTGCAGACTGAAGGATCACAGGTTCAGTTCTGGTCAAGGGCATGTACCTTGGTTGCAGGCACATCCCCAATAGGGGGTGTGCAGGAGGCAGCTAATCGATGTTTTTTTCTCATCAATATTTCTAACTCTCTATCCCTCTCCCTTCCTCTCTGTAAAAAAATCAATAAAATATATTTTTTAAAAGAATAAACTTTAAAAAATAATAAAATAAAAATGGTATTGGATTTTTTCCCCCTATCACAGAAATAAGAAGAAAACTTGGTAGTTTTATTTGGGAACAAGACCAACATTTTCTGAGAGAAAAGGTAAGAGTAAAGTAAGGTACTTAATTAAAATTTAGTTTCAAAATTTTTTGAAAGGAATGTAATCATAAAAATGTTTGCCTGTGACATGATCCAGATTAAGGAATTTGAAGGCCATGCTTTTATTGAACACTATTTTTGTACTGGTACAATGGTTGGGATTTTTTGTATGAATAAAATTATTCACATAACTTGAAAAGTTGCTTTTGTCAGTAATATTAAGGGAGTGATAGTTTCACAGAATAGACCAGTTCTTTACTGCCAGTGTAGATTCTGGTTGATTAATTACTGTGTTGTGCCATTTTGTTAAATGTTTTGAATAACACCTCTCAATACATGTGTATAATACTAAAAATTGACTTTAGCTTTTGCCATCCTGCTTCAATTTGCCTATGCTTGGGATAATTTGAACATCAAAATTAACAATGCCAATAATGAATTATAAAACATTAAATTTTTTAAAGTCCATGATTATATAGTGATACTTTAAAAACAGAAAGAAAAAAAATGGAGGAACAGAAGGAAGGAAAGAAAGCAGGAAGGAAAAGGTGGGATAAGAGAAATTTTCCTTACAGAATAGCAGCTAATAAATACACAAAGAATGATAGAATAGGAGAGAAACCAAGATGGAGACATAGGTAAGCACCTAAACTGCTGCCTTGCACAACAATTTCAAAACTACAACTAAAAGACAGAACGGTCATCATCCAGAGCCACAGGAAAGCTGGCTGAATGGAAATTCTACAACTGGAAGGAAAGAGAAAAGCTCACAGAAAATCAGAGGAGCTGCAAAGAGCTGAGGTATGAAGACATGTGCGCAGAGGGAAAGGGTGGCTAAGTGCCTGGCTGGCTTTCTCTGGTGAGAGGGAGAAGGAAGATCCAGACTGCACTGAACCCCAGTTCTGGGCAAGGCTCTGTGAACCCAGATTCATACAGGGGGAGTATGGACTGTTAGGTAGAGAGAAAGGCACACGGAGACTCGGGGGAGCCACAAAGAGCAGGGGTCTGGAGGCACATGCCTGATTGCGCACAGAGAGGATTGACTGCACAGAGAGAATTGACTCCCTTGCTCTCTGTAAAAAAATCAATATTTTCTAAAAATAAACAGGAAGAACATCTTTATAATATGTTGAAAGTCAAGCAATTAATTTATATATTTTGTACTCCTTTTATAAATTTGTTTTTTCTTCCCTAAGTGTTATCATCTGAAAATACTAATAGTTCTTTTATATTCTTGGTCTATGTTGTACAAAGGACCAAAATATTTAATCCTTGACTTATAACAATGTTTCCAGGGACATGAATGGTTATTTGATAGTAATTATTGAGTATACCAGAACTTCAGAGCTAAAAAGTTCTTGAAAATCATTAATTTAATCACTCAGTTTTAGAAATGAGAAAACTGAGGTAAAGAGAAGCAAAGATCTGTCTTGGTTCACATAGCCAGATATTATTGGCAAAGTTGAACAAAATTTTCTCAGTTCCAATGTTGTTTTCTATTAAAAATTAGTAGAATATGCCGAGACCAGTTTGGCTCTGGATAGAGCGTCAGTCTCCGGACTGAAAGGTTCCAGGTTTGATTCCGATCAAGGGCATATACCTTGGTTGTGGGCACATCCCCAGTAGATTCTCTCTCATCGTTGTTTCTAACTCTATCCCTCTCTCTTCCTCTCTGTAAAAAATCAATAAAATATATTTTTAAAAAATTAGTAGAACATTCCTGCTGTACTGTTGACAATTGACTTGAGACTATTGACTGTAGAAGTTGTATGATTATATAACAAGGGGTTTTATTAGTAATTTCAAAATATTGATTTAGACTAATTATTAGCCAATTTTAATATAATTATCCTATATAATAAAACCCTAATATGCAAATAGACCAAACTGTGGAACAACCAGTCACTATGATATGCACTGACCACCAGAGGACAGACACTCAATGCAGGAGCTTCTCCCTGGTGGTCAGTGCTCTCCCACAGGGAGCGCTTCTCAGCCAGAATCTGGGCTCACAGCTGGTGAGCACAGCGGAAGTAGCAGGAACCTCTCCTGCCTCCGTAGCAGCACTAAGAATCCCTCGGGGGTCCTAGGCTGCAAGAGGGCGCAGGCTGGGCTGAGGGACACCCTGCCCCTCCCAGTGCATGAATATCATGCACTGGATCTCTAGTAGTATATATACTGTGTTTCCCCGAAAATAATATATCCTCCAAAAATAAGACATAGCGCATGGAAAAATAAGACATCCTCTGAAAATAAGATCTAGCGCATCTTTGGGAGCAAAAATTAATATAAGACACTGTCTTATTTTCAGGGAAACAGGGTAGGTAGAAGGTATTTCACTGAATGGCAACAATAAGGGTAAAACTGGTAAGTAATTTTGGGGAGCATTATTATTGTTATTTAGAGTGTATTTGTGACCTAAATATAGCAATTTCCTAATGGCATATTAAGTAAATATATTACGTGATAGGTGCGAGTATTTGAGTTACTATCAGGTAATCTTTAGTTCTTTTGTAACTCCATAGCTAAATATTTCATTTTAATTTTGAAGGGAAACAATTTGTAAAGCTTATTTTATACTTTTTATTTGTAGCTTGCAGACAGCCGAGGAATCTTCAATTCAAAAATTTTAAGAGCCGAGGCTGGTTTGGCTCAGTGGTAGAGCATCGGCCTGCGGACTGACGGGTTCCAGGTTCGATTCCAGTCAAGGGCATGTACCTTGGTTGCGGGCACATCCCCAGTGGGGTGTGTGCAGGAGGCAGCTGATAGATGACTCTCTCTCATCGATGTTTCTAACTATCTCCCTTCCTCTCTGTAAAAAATCAATAAAATATATTTTTTAAAAATTTTAAGAGAGTTTAATAACACTTTTTTCCTTATTAAAAAAAAACCACTAATAAGTAATATGACCACATTAGGGAAAATTTCAAAAACTGAAAAATAATAAAATCAGTCAAAAGTTTTACTATCTAATACAAACATAGCTGATATTTAAAAAAATTTGTTTTTCTTTATGTATCTTTAAAAATATAGAGTATAATTAATTGTGTGTGTACAAAATTTTGTTAAGTTTTTCCACCAAACTAGATTAAATGTACCTAGGTATATAAATACTTTATGACTTATATTATGCCAATGTACTTCTTTTATTTAAAAATTTATTGATTGGCTTATTGGTGTGCTGATTTTTAAAAATATGATTTCTTTTGCTATCCACAGCATGATGAAGTAATGTCAAATGAAAGAAACATCCTTAAGGAAAACTGTGAACTGGCCACAGATCACAAAAAAGAATTATCCAAAAGGTACTGAGTTCATATATCGATACTTCATTGATATTCAATTCAATATAGACATCTTTGAGCACTGACAATGTATTTATCTCATTAAATTTTTACAGTCTCTTATGAGATATTATCATTTTCACATTGACATTTTAGAAAGCAATTTAGGTCAAAGAGATTGTAATTTATCCAAAGTCTTGTATAAGTGGGAGAAGAAGGATTTGAATTGGATCAGCCTAATTCTAGAACCCATGCATTTAACTACTATGCTAGATTAACCTTGCAAAAAAGAAACTAGAATTTTATCTATATTATGAATACTGTTATATTATTTTAAAATATATTTTAAATAATAAAATATACTAAATATTAGCAGTAATATTATTAGGATTGGAAGTTCTGAATGATTTTTCCCTCTCCTTTCCAAATTGTTTTGTAATGTGATTACTTTGACTTAAGAAATTAAATTTAAAAAGACAAACATGGACTTGCCATTGTGTTAGGGCCAATGTAAGAGAGGCCCCCTTATTGCTAGCTTACTTATTATCTAGTCCTAATTTCATATTTCAAGTTCAAAGTTTTTCAAATATTCATAGGATAGCATTGGTTATATGAAAATCTGGTATTTGGCTACTAAAACAAAAATGATCAATATTAGTCTTCTTCCATATAAAAAGTAATAAGTTTAATCTTTATCATTTTTTCAATGTTAAGTTTTTCTCCATATAATTTTTCTACCTACTATTTTAGTTTATTAAAATTTGATGTAAGTTGTTGTCTGATTTAATACATGCTGTATATTCAATTATGCTAAGTTTAATAAAACATTGCTTCGCCAAAGCCGGTTTGGCTCAGTGGTAGAGCGTCGGTCTGCGGACTGAAAGGTCCCGGGTTCGATTCCGGTCAGGGGCATGTATTGTACATTGGTTGCAGGCACATCCCCTGTAGGGGGTGTGCAGGAGGCAGCCGGTCGATGTTTCTCTCTCATCGACGTTTCTAGCTCTCTGTCTCTCTCCCTTCCTCTCTGTAAAAAATCAATAAAATATATTTTTAAAAATAAATAAATAAAACATTGCTTCATAGTCTTGTGACTTCTAGATATTCTACCATTTAAGTTTAAGAATCTCTATTTTAGGTCTTTTGGATCTCTACATGTAACATTCCTTTGAGCTTCTCGTTATGCTTTTTGAGATAAGAAATTGGTAAGGAAAGGAATAAAAATGAAAATAGAAGAGGTGAGATTATGAAGATATTAAGAGATGGATAGAGGAGAGAATAGTTATACTAAGCGGCCTTGTAAGAAAAGGCTGGGCCCAAACCGGTTTGACTCAGTGGATAGAGCGTTGGCCTGCAGACTGAGGAGTCCCAGGTTTGATTCTGGTCAAGGTCATGTGCATTGGTTGCGGGCAAATCCCCAGTGGAGGGGTGTGCAGGAGGCAGATGGTCTATGTTTCTCTCTCATCGATGTTTCTAGCTCTCTATCCCTCTCCCTTCCTCTCTGTAAAAAATAATAATAATATTGTAATAATTTTAAAAATTAATAAAATATTTTTTAAAAAAGAAAGAAAAGGCTGGGAAATAGAAATAAAAAGTTACTCCCAGTGATTCATTGGACTAGGAAAGATACAAGATATATAAATTCTTTAAGAAACAGTTGTCCTGACCTGACCAGTTTTTCTCAGTGGTTAGATTAGAGCATCAGCCCTCAAAGGGTGGAGGGTTTGATTCCCAATCAAGGGCCTGGACTGGAGGTTCAATCCCCAGCCCAGTTTGGCACACGTGTGGGAAGCAAGCAATTGATGTTTCTCTCTCTTCCCTTCTCCCTCCCTTCCACTCTGTCTGAAAATCAGTGGGAAAATATCCTCTTGTGAGGATTAAAACAACAACAAGAAAAACAAGTTTCCTCCAAAGTACAGAATCCATTAAGAAAAGATTTCCCAGCTTGTGTGGTGCAGTGGTTGAGCATTGACTTATGAACCAGGAGGTCATGGTTTAAATCCCATTCAGGGCATATGCCCTGGTTATGAGCTCCTGCAGCCAATCAAGGATTTTCATCATTGATATTTCTCTTTCTTTTTCTCTCCCTCTCCCTTTCTTTCTGAAATAAATAAAAATATTTTTCAAAAAGAAAAATATTGATAAACATGACCAAAATATTTTAAACTTGTACATGGCAATAAAAATATTATAATCCAAGTCAAATAAAAATATTGTAATCCAAGTAAAATAACGTTAGGAAAAACATTTGACAAAGGCTTGCTTCCTTAATATTATATAAATACTATATAAAGAGGGCTTGCAAATCTGGGGAAATATGTCCAATTGAATAGCAACAAAAATAGACAAAGGATATGAATAGACACTTTAAGTAGGTGTCTACCTAACGCCGTTTTTTTGTGGAACCGCCAGAGGGTGTAGTGCAAACATAGATAAAATATACTTTACCTTTGAAGCATTTATTTTGTTGGCATACTATTAGTATTGAACACTAAGTGGCGAACTAGTTCTTTAGTACTTGCTAAATACAAGACTTTTGTGAGCTCAGCAGTTCACAATAATTTGTTTCTTAGACCTTATAAGATAGTTAAATAGTATTAGCCCCATTTTATAGTTGAGGTCTCAGAGAGCTAAATGACTCAACAAATGTGAAGCTGAAACCAAAGCTAGCTAATTGACTCAGACTCCAAAACCTTAATCACTATGCTGTTTTTTCCCCCAATACGTTAATAAAATCTTCAGAAAATAGTATAGATTTCTTTTCTTGCTTTTAATTACAGTAATTTTATTATGATGAATGTAATGCATGCAATTTGTTAAAATAGAAAATACAAAAAAAAAGAATAAATAAAATTTAAATCCCACCACTGAGAGATAACCATCATCAACATTAGCTTATTTCTTGCTAGTTTTATACAAATACATGCATTAAATAGAGTTGATGTTAACTGCATATGCAGAGTGGTGCAACAATAAGTTTATAGTTGTGAGTGTGTAAAACACAGAGTTTATGCTTATATTATTTATTAATTAATTACTGTATTAATTTCCACATGAATAACTATAAACCTACTTTAGTTCTATCCTGTTTAGTCTGTCTCTTGATTTTCCCCATTTTGAAAAACCTTATTTGATATTATGATTTGTAATGGATGCATATAGTATTTCATCTTGTTTAATCGCCTTCCTTTTTTTTCTTTCTTTATTGATTAAGGTATTACATATGTGTCCTTATCTCCCCACTGCTTCCCTCAACCCCCTACTCATGCCCTCACCCCTGTTGTCTGGGTCCATTGGTTAGGCTTATATGCATGCATACAAGTCCTTTTCTTATCTCCCCCCCTTACCTCCATCCTCCCCTAACTTCCCTCTGAGGTTTGAGCATCTGATTGATGCTTCTGTCTCTGGATCTGTTTTGTTCATCAGTTTATGTTGTTCATTATAATCCACAAATGAGTGAGATCATATGATATTTATTTTTCTCTGACTGACTTCTTTCGCTTAGCACAATGCTCTCCAGTTCCATTCATGCTGTTGCAAATGGTAGGAGAGCCTTCCTTTTTACCACAGCGTAGTATTACATTGTATAGATGTACCACAGTTTTGTAATCCACTCATCTGCTGATGGGCATTTATGCTGTTTCCAAATCTTAGCTATTGTAAATTGTGCTGCTACTGGTGCATATATCCTTTCTGATTGGTGTTTCTAATTTCTTGGAATATATTCCTAGAAGTGGGGTTACTGGGTCAAAGGCAGTTCCATTTTTAGTTTTTTGAGGAAACTCCATACTATTCTCCACAGTGGCTGCACCAGTCTGCATTCCTACCAGCAGTGCACAAGGGTTCCTTTTTCTCTGCATCCTCGCCAGCACTTGTCATTTGTTGATTTGTTGATGATTGTGACAGGTGTGAGATGGTATCTCATTGTTGTTTTGATTTGCATCTCTCTGATGATTAATGACTTTGAGCATGTTTTCATATGTCTCTTGGCATTCCTTATGTCCTCATCTTCCCTTTTTTAAAAAAATTATATATATATATATATATATATATATATATATATATAGATAGATAGATAGATAGATAGATATTTTATTGATTTCAGAAAGGAAGAGAGAGAGAAAGAGAGAGATAAAACCATCAATGATGAGGGAGAACCATTGATTGACTACCTTCTACATGCCCCCCATGGAGAATGTCCCCTGACTGGGAATGGAACCATGACCTCCTGATTCATAGGTTAAGGCTCAATCATTGAGTCATGCTTAAAAATGTTTTAAATTATTTACAAGTTGTTTCTGTTATGGCATCTTCATGAACATCTTTTTTTAAAAAAAATCTTTCTCAAAGAAAAAAAAGAAAAAATCTTTCTCTACTTTTTAAGATAACTTTCTTAATGTAAATTCTCAGATGTGGAACTTACAGTATAAAGAGATATGAATACTCTTTAAGGGCTATGACATCTACTGTTAGTTGCTTCCCACAAAAGTATAAATTTAGATTACTACTACTATTGGTCTTGCTGCATCCTCATCATTATATTGAGTGTTAATAAGAAGCCTTGTGTTAATTTAATAGATGAAAATGGCATCTTCTTTTAATTTTCATATTTATTTGATTACTAATAGGTTTGAACATTTTTAAGTTTGTTTATTAGAATTTTATAGTTCCTTTTCTGTGGCTTTTTTGTTTCTATTTCTCCATTTTTTATTGTGAGGTCCTTATTGTTTTTCTTATCAACTTGTCTGTCATCTTCATATAATAACTACATTAAACTTTTGCTAGTTTGTCACATTATATCTTCAGTTTGTGATCTGGTTTATACTTCCTCAGAGATATGTTTTAAATGTTCACATTATTAAGTTAATCACTTTTATAATTTTTCTATTGTTTTTACCTTCAGAAAAATCCTTTCCCATTCAGAGATCAAGTGGGTTTTTAATTCTGCAGGTATTTATTTTGGTATAAGTTAATAAGTGAATTCTAAATTTATTTTTGTTTTTTAAATAAGAAATTACCACAGTATTTAAAAAAATAAATCTATTTCAACTGATGTGTGATTTCCCTTTGTCATATGTTGTTTTATATATTTGGAGATCTATTTTTGGACTATTTGTTTTATTCCATTAATCTGTGAATCTATTTTTATATCAATAAAATCTTATTTTAACTTAGATAACTTTATTTATATATGTTAATACCTGAAAAAAAAAACAGTCCCAAACTCCTTTTTCCTTGGCTCTTTATGCTACACATTATTTTTCTATTTTCAAAATTTAATTATTTTTATTAGGTAAAATATTCACATAGTTCAAAACCCAAGATATATAAAAGAGGATACTATGAAAATATACTAGCCTCCAAAAAGCCAGTTTCCTTCCAGAGGCAATCAATATTATCAGTTTCTAATATATGCATGTACTAGAAGATTTATAAAATATTCTTTCATTTCTCCTTTTTGCACAGATAGTAATACACTGTTTTCCATTCGTGATACAACAGGACCACTGTTTTAATTACTTATAATATGATTTAATATCTAGAACTAGCTCCTCCTCCTTGCTCTTTTTCAAGTTTTCTTAGCTGTTATTTCTCAAATTTTCCTTCTGATTTTTGCAACCACCTTGTTTATATTTTTTTTAAATTCCTATTGTTATACTTAGTGATATTACAAAGAATTTATAGATTAACTTAGGGACAATGTCTATGATATCAAATACCTCTATCCAAAAAAGTGGTATTTTCCCCCATTTGTTCAAGTTTTCTTTTGTGGCCCTTATGGAACTTTTTCATATTTTCTTTATATAAATCTGTACTTCCTTTAAGAATATTCCTAGATATGTTATTTCATTCTATTACAAATTTAGTCTTGCCTCCTATTAGATCTTCTAACATGTTGCTAAGATGAATTTTAGAATTTTTTTTTCTTAAGCTCTAAGGGACTTTATAGAGAATTGTGTTAAACTTCAATTTGAGAAGAACTACTATTTTTATAATTTTCAATATTCCCTATCCAGGAGAATGCTTTGGTTTTCCTTTATTTTTTCTTCTATATTTCAGTCAAGTTTTTTATTTTTCTATATACCTATACTAATAAAAGAGAAAGATGCAAATAGACTGTACCTTCATGACACCCACCAGCCAATCAGGAGTGTGTATGCAAATTAGCCCAACAAAGATGGTGGGTTAATTTGCATACACAGGTGCCCAGTGGCCAGGGGCGGGATGCTTGCATCATTGCCATGGCTACAATGCAGGTGTTCTGCACCACCTTAGCTGCTCCGGGCCTCTGGGCAGCATGGGAAGGTGGAAAGGCCACTCTGGCCAGAGTGAAGGTGGTGCTGGCAGCCAGGGGAAGGAAGGCCCATTCTTGCACGAATCTTCGTGCATTGGGCCTCTAGTCTAATTATAAAGTACTAGAGGCCTGATGTACGAAATTCATGCAAGGGGCTTGGCCCTCACAGCCCCAGCTTGGTCCAGAAGGTCGTCCAGACAGTTATTCAGAACGATGTTCGGACAGTCATTCTGCTGTTTAGTCTAATTAGCATATTAGCTCTGTATTATATAGGATTGTTGAATTATTATGCATTCAAAAATACTGAGTAAAAGACCCAGGCCTCTATATAATTCAATAAATGCTTGTTTTATAAAGTGGCCAAGGTTATAAAAAATATCCATAGAGGCCTTATATTACTTAGAAGCACAAAAGAAGTTCACACTTAACATTTTTACCCAATTAAGACTGAAATCTGATGAAAGAGCAATTAGATTACTATGTATTTTTCCTGGAATAACTTCTCATTTGTAAAAGAAGTCAAAAAAACAAATATAAACATGACTTTCTGTTTAATTTTACAGCACAAAAAAGCATTTTATAAGGACTCCAGTTGTAGAAAAGCAGATGTACTGCCCTCTTCAGAATTATCCAGTGAACAACATGGTAACAGGTAATTTAAAATAAAAGTTAGCCCAGCTGGTGTGGCTCAGTGGTTCAGTATCAAATCAGGAAACAAGAGGTCACTGGTTTGATTTCTGGTTCAGGGCACATGCTTGGGTTGCAGGCTCAATCCCCAGTGTGGGGCATGCAGGAGACAGCTGATCAATGATTCTCTCTCATCACTGATGTTTCTATTTCTCTCTCTCCCTCTCCCTTCCTCTCTGATATCAATAAAAGGAAATATTTTTTTTAAAGATATTTTCTGAGGTAAATGACTATGATTAAAATATATTTTAAAAATAATCAATTTTATCTGATTAGATTAATAGTTAATTTATTAACTGTGAATTTGTTATATGAGAAACAATTGTACTATATACATAGATAACCTGTTGGTGGTGGCGTTCTAAATTCAATCATTCTTGGGTGCTATCAGAATTTTTGTCATACAGGATTTACTTTTTAAATTAAGTTTCACTTTTAGTATAAGCCATAAATAATTATATTACACATGAAATATAATCACTCAGATAAGAATTCCATATGAAGGTAATATTGCTAAAGCAACAGTTCTTTTTTTAAAAATATTTTTTTATTGATTTCAGAGAGAAAGGGAGAGAGAGAGAGAGAGAGAGAGAGAGAGAGAGAGAGAGAGAGAGAGAAACATCAATGATGAGAAAGTATCATTGATCTGCTGCCTCCTGCACACCACCTACTAGGGATCAAGCCCACAACCAGAGCATGTGCCCTCGGCTGGAATCAGTCTATATAGTTCAATTCTCTATTCACTGAGCCAAACCAGCTGAGGCAAGTGACTGAGTTCTTAAATTCTAGAAGTTCTTTTTGACATTAATATCTATTTCAGATTATTCATGACATCAAAATTACTCATACCAATAATCTTTGTTGACTAAGCAATAATGTCAATCTTCCCATTGTTTTTATTAAAAGAATATTATCTTATTGTTAGCAGTGAAGGAAAGTGTTGCCTGTGATATTTGGAAAGATGAACTGTTTGTGCCGATTGTAGCTAGTTGAATAATTCTAAATGATTCTACTCTAAACTAGAAACACTTTCCAGTTTTGTTTTGACCTAGTACTTTTTAATACTCCATCCCCAAACTCAACATGACACTCTCAATAGTCAAAGTGATTAATTAAGTATCTTCGTTTTAAATGAAGGTAAAAGGGTAGCTTAGTTAGAGTATTGTTCTGATATACCAAGGTTATGGTTTCCATCCCCAGTCAGGATACATACAATAATCAACCATAAATAAGTAGAATAACAAATTGATGTTTCTCTCTCTAAAAACCAATAAATAAAAATAAAAGGAGGTAGAAGGTTGTGGGGAACAGGTAAGGAATAAGAAGGTTGTTCACTGATAATTATCAAGGATCATGGAGAATCTTCTGACTAGTACTTTTTCTTTTCTAAGAACCTTCTTTAGAGATCTTAACCCTAATCAACCATAACACTGAAAATCAGGTAGTATGATAAAATTTCAAATGTATGCTTTTTTTTTTGTAGGCTATATATCAATTGATGCCATGAAGAAATTCGTTGGGGAGCTACATGACTTTATTCCTGGAAGTTCAGGATATTTGGCATACCATGTTCAAAATGAAATTAATATGTCTACCATAAAAAACAAATTGAAGAGGAAATAAGTTGTCCTTGTATCTGGGCATTTATTTTCTATAAAATATTATCAAAGATGGGCATGATTTTAAGTTCTCCCATTTGGGACAGGGGTATGAGGAAATGGGGATGATTTCTTTTCTTTCTGTCTCAAAAATGTATCTTTAGAAAATTCAAAATCTTTTTGGCTTTGTATTTTGACATTTGGGCTGGACTGTTTCCCCAGCTTGTAACATATGCCCACAGATACTGAGTGTACAGTTGTTTGGTGTTATTGTCATTGAAACATAGTTTATAAGATATCAATCTCTCCCTCTCCCTCTCCCTCTCCCTCTCCCTCTCCCTCTCCCTCTCCCTCTCCCTCTCCCTCTCCCTCTCCCTCTCCCTCTCCCTCTCCTTCTCCCTCTCTCCTGATTCTCTTTTAGCTTTAACATTTTATTATATGTATTTTTCTACGTTTATTGATGTGAATGTAAAATTTATTTTTCTTATTTCAATTAAAAAACTAGAATGCTATAGTTGAATTCTGAATTACTCTTTCTTACTTGAAAATATGGAGTAGAGCATTTTAATAATTCAAACTTCAAGTATGAACAGTTTCTGATAATAAATATATCAAAAGTGATTTAATATAAACAAGTGTTATCTCATCTGAAATGAACCCTCAAGGTGTCTTAAAATCTTAGTACTGGAAAGGACCTGAGAGAACATAGAGTCCAATCCATTTATTGCTTTTAATGAGGAAATGAAGGCCTTGAAAAGGTGTCTTGCCTGGGTTCTAGTTGGGGGCTGATCCGGAACTGGAACATAGTTCTCTTCATTTTCTAGGCCAGTGCTTCCCTCCTCTTTCATGTGGCTGGAGCCTGTCAGATATAATATGCCTTGAGATGTAATGATTTCAATAATTCCTTTATTCAATTCATATGGTCATGCTGTATAGAATCTGATAGATTTATTGCATTTTGAAAATTTGTAGAAGACATTATTTGTAAAATGATAATCTTGTTAAAACTGTACTCTCTCGGAGGAGGATCCAAGATGGCTGCGCCCAGGTGAACACCTAGCCGAAGCCGCACACAACAATTTCAATAAAATACAACTAAAATATAAAACGGACATTGCCCAGAACTACAGGAAGGTTGACTGACTGGAAATTCTACAGCGAGAAGCAAGGAGAAAACCAGAAGGAGGCGCGGAGGAGCTGGAAAAGCCCAAGGTACGGAGACGTGGCGCGCGGAGAGGACGGAGCCGGAGAGGAGGGAGGCCTAGTGCCTGGCGGGCATTCCCAAGCGGAAAGGAGATAAAACTCCGACTGTGCTGGGCCCCCGACTGCTCTGAACCCCAGTTCTAGGCCAGACCCCGGGGACTCAGACTCAGCCATAGGGAGCCGGGCTGTAAGGCGGAACCTCGGGGAGAGGCGAAAGGAGGTCCCGGAGGTGCGCACACTGCGCGCCGAGAAGGGACCGTTGGCTGTGCCGTGGGATTGCCCTGACGGGAAGGAGACTGGGGCTCCAGACTGCTCTGAACGCCACCTCCAACTCCACTTCCAACGGAACTGAACCCCAATACTGGGCTCATTGGGGGAGAGCATAGACTGTTTGGCAGCAGGCGAAAATCGAGGGCACCTTTCTCTCAGAGGTGCCAGCAGCGAGCACTGAAGGACCCGCATAGGGCGGGGCTGACGGAAGTCAAAGCTGCAGGCTCCACCTGAAACCCCGTCCCATCTGTAACTGCGAAATGAGACAACAAAATAGATCACAAACGAAAGAAATGGAGGACAAAAAGCGTCTGGATATAGAGTTCAAATCTACGCTTATAAGGTTTTTCAAGAATTTCCTAGAAAAGATGGATAAGACTTATGAGGATATGAAAAGAGATCAACTAGAATTAATAAGGAGTCATCAAGAAATGATAAGGGATCAACAAGAAATAAAGAATACATTGTCTGAAATAAAAAATATTTTACAGAGTGCTAAAAACAGAAGGGAAGATCGCAAGAATCAAGTCAAAGATTTGGAACATAAAGAGCCAGAAGACACTCCTCCACAGAAGCTAGAAGGCAAGAGAATCCAGAAAACTGAAGATAATGTAAGAAACCTCTGGGACAACTTCAAGCAAACCAACATCAGAATTATGATGGTCCCAGAAGATGAGAGAGAGCAAGATATCGAAAACATACTGAAAGAAATAGTGACAGAAAACTTCCCCCACCTGGTGAAAGAATTAGACTTACAAGTCCAGGAAGCGCACAGAACTCCAAACAAAAGGAATCCAAAGAGGACCACACCAAGACAAATCATAATTAAAATTCCAAGAGCAAAAGACAAAGAGAGAATATTAAAAGCAGCAAGAGCAAAGAAGGTAGTTACCTATAAAGGAGCACCTATACGATTGTCAGCTGACTTCTCAACAGAAACCATGCAGGCCAGAAGGCAATGGCAAGAAATATTCAAGGTGATGAATAGTAAGAACCTACAGCCAAAGATAATCTATCCAGCAAAGCTATCACTCAGAATCGAAGGTCAGATAAAGAGCTTCACTAATAAAAAAAAAGCTAAAGGAGTTCATCAACACCAAACCAGAATTATATGAATTGCTGAAGGGGGTTCTTTCAGAAGAGAAAGTAAACAAAGATAAAAATTATGAACAACAAATACGTAACTATCAACAAGTGAATCTAAAAACCAAGGAAATTAAAAAAAAATCTGATGAACAATATTAACTGTTGAATATAATAGAATCAGAGGTATGGAAGGGGAGTGAACTGACGATTCTTGGGGAAAAGGGGAGAGGGGGGCGTGGGAAGAGACTGAACATAAACTGTGCACCTATGGATGAGGACAATGGGGAGTGGGGAAAGGGCAGAGGGCGGGGTGGGAACCTGGTGGAGGAGAGCAATGGTGGGGGGGAAAAAAAGGAACATTTGTAATAATATGAACAATAAAAACTTATTAAAAAAACAAAACAAAAAACAAAAAAAAACCAAAAAAACTGTACTCTCTCCTAGGAAGTACAGGCCAACTACAGAATTATCTAAAGACATTACACTTTTTTAATCTTTTTTTTTTTTTTTTAGAGTTTGGATCATTTGAATATATGTGGGCTCTGGCCTTTCTCCTGTGACTTAAATTTCATTATGCAAAATTTTAACACTAATCTCAGCATCAGCATTTGAAAGTTCTATTTTTCCCATATAATAACTTTTATTTATTTGCATCCATATTTTTTGTTAAACTCTTCTGAACTCATAAACTTTAAAAAAAAAATCCGTAAATGTTTATTATCTTTTCCTAAAACATAATATTGTCTTTCATGAAGGCTTTATTTTAATCCATTCAGCTGATTATGTTTCTTATGTAGAAACCAGGGCTAACTGTGGACATGCAAACATGTCTCCTCTGATGCTTTTCACTATTAGACATAGTCAGTTCTTATACTGTTTAATTTAGTATGTAGTCCTTAGTTCATCTTATTTCTTTTTTCTTTTTATAGTAAATTAGTTGGGGTGACATTGGGTAACAAGATTATATAAGCCTAGGTTTATATAAGCGTGGTTCAGTGGTTGAGCATTGACCTATGAACCAGGAGATGATGGTTCGATTCCCAGTCAGGGCACATGCCCAGTTTTTGGGCTCGATCCCTACCTAGTAGGGAATGTACAGGAGGCAGCTGATCAATGATTCTCTCTCTCTCTCCATCTTCCTACCTGAAATCAATACAAATATTTTTAAAAATATTATGTAAGTTTCAAGTCTATAATGCTACCATTTTATTTATTTCATCTTTTGTGAGCAGATTATTTTTCTTTCTATCCTTTGGTAAGGTCTGTGTCATTAGATAAGTTATGGATCAATGGCAGAGTCTGATAGTGATTTCTGAATGTCCGTTTTCCCTGTCTTCCAAGTTGATTGGATCCCTTTCCTATCTGGGCACAGGCTACCTAGAATAAAGACCATATTCTCAGTCTCACTTGAAATTAAATATGACTATGTCACATGTTTGGTCGATGATGCACAGTGGAAATGGCATCTGGGAACCTTTTTTAAAGACATCTGGCATGTACTCTTTGTCTCCCCCATTTTTTCTGCTTCTTTCATTCTGTTGCTTGGAATTCAAATGTGATAGCTACTATTTGAGATATAAAAGTGTGGCAGGATAGTAAGAAGCTAGGAAAATTTCTGGGTAAGTGGAAGGGAAAACAGAATTAAGGCCAAACTGTTTGGGCAACTTGCAGCCAGTTTGTGAATTGCAAGACCTTATCTTCCCCAACCGAGGACACTTAAGAGCAAATGATTAATACCTTTCCTCTCTAACCAGAAAATGTAGGAAAGGGGATAGGTGGAAAGGAGAAGGAGTTTTATCTACTGAAAAAAGAAATCAGCAATTTGGAGACTTGACAAGATAAAATCACCAGATGCTCTAATTTCGGGGGGGGGGGGGGGGGGGGGAGAAAGCCACAACGAAGAAAAAGGGGACCTTGAAATTCAGTCTATTGTCTAAGATAGCCAGCAGAGGAACCTTGAAATCTGTAGATGAGAAAAGTATGAAATCCCTAAACTTTCATCTGATGGGACATTCAGATTAGCTGGGTGCCTTCTTGTGCTGCACATCAAGTGTAATTTTTAAATTTTTGCTTGCCTTGCTTCCTTTTTCTTTCTTTTCATATATATATATATATATATATATATATATATATATATATATTTTATTTTTTTTTTAATTGATTTCAGAGAGGAAGGGAGAGGGAGAGAGAGATAGAAACATCAATGATGAAAGAGAATCATCAATCAGCTGCCTCCTACACACCTCACACTGGGGATGGAGCCTGCAAACTGGGCTCAGGCCCTTAACTGGAATTGAACTGTGGGCTGACGCTCTATCCACTGAGCAAAAGAAGCTAGGGCTTGCCTTGCTTCCTTAGCAAATTCTCTTGCTTTGCTTCCACACTGCTTGTCTGTCACTCGTTTGAAATCTTTCTTATGAGACTGACTAGAGCTGAGAGGGTATGCTCTTGTTATCAGACAGTCCTCTCCCTCCTACTTGGACGGCTGGCCAATAACAAGGGCATATCCTAGGGTTGGCAAAGCAGGAAACAAAGGATCCATGGGTTCTGAGGGCATTGTGGAGATATCTGCCGTCCCAGCTCTGGGTCTCCTACCTCAAGACTTTTATGTGACAGAGAAATAAACTTTTTTGTTTAAAGCACTCTATTTTGTGTCTCTTACTTCCAAATTAATCATAACTGAGGCTTTGATGATGAACAGGCTGCTGACCTTTTCTGTGGGAGAGGATTGCA